CCAGCCACATACACCTGAGCTGGTGGGTTCGAATCCAGCCCAGGCCTGCCAAACAACAATGACAACTACAACCAAAAAATAGCCAGGCATTGTGGCTGACACCTGTAGTCCCAGCTACTTGGGAGGCCGAGGCAAGAGACTCGCTTAAGCCCAGGAGTTGGAGGTTGCTGTGAACTGTGATGCCATAGCACTCTATTCAGAGCAACAGCTTGAGGCTCTGTCTCAAAGAAAAACAAAAACAACAGAAATTATGTAACAACTCAAAAGGCACAATAGGAAGGGTGAGAAACATCTAACTGGCCAGTAGATTTAGTTCTTTCACTACATGAAAACTCCAACTTTCATTTTTAGGAAAATTTACATAGTTTAGGTAAACCTTAACTTCAGTATAGACAGAAATATGCCTGTGTTTCCTAAGTTTTAGGAAAACTTAGGTAGTTTAGGTAAACCTTAACTTCAGTATAGACAGAAATATGGAAAGATTTTGTTACACTGACTGGTTTCCTTTAATTAACTGTTTTCTAGTTGTCTCAACTGGGAAAGATACATTTACAGAACTGGCTGTACTTTTGCTTTCTTTGTGAGCAGCTTTAGATCTGCAATGCAGTTGGCAATTGTCTCCTTTTCCTGCTGTGCAGAGATGCTCTGCACCACATGCTTTTCCACCCAGTTTTATCATGTGCTCCTGTTCCTTTTGACGCATCATATTCTACACAGAAATGTGACAGTCCAGGCAATTCTTCACCTCCTTATATACTCTACGTAGCCATTCTGATAAGTAAGCTCTAAGGTCATAGCAATGTTATTCCTCCGGACATCAAAAAGGTAATGCTGCTTCTGAACCAGTGCCTGCTGTGACTTCTCCAAATCAATTGCATCCTGGATTTGTTTGATGGGAGCTTGCTTCACCTCTTCTAGGTGGGCAAGTTTCTGCTCATTGAGTTTATCAGCAAATTCTCCAATACAGGCACCATATTTTTTAACTACATAGACAAACAATCCTACTATTGATATGGTAGAGAAGGTCTCCAGGGGAATCACATATATTTCTTTGATGGAAAATACAAGATAAGCCCAAATCCGAGCACACAGGGTCCTGTTACACCAGTTTTAGGATAAAGAAACTGGAAGAATTCCTCAGGGATCAGACCAAAACCAACTTTTCCTCCATATTCAGGAAGAGGTGGTAGAGGGGCAAGACTTGGCTGTCCAGTGTGACAGATCCTTGTTGCCTGTGACACCCTTGGACCTAGGAGGGCAGAGTTCTTCAGAGAGGTGGCCACTGTGGTGGAGGCAGAAAGTACTACTCGGGACAGCATGGTTAGGGAAGGTCCAGACAGCAATCTTAGTGTCCCTGTGACCCCGACTGGAGAGGAACTTTGTTTTCTCTCAAGGTTTTTTATATTGTGATTATAAGAACAAGACTTCTGATATAATATCCTTATATTAAAGTAATATTAATACTTCCTTCTTTATAATCTCAAAGGACTAAGACATTATAATTCCTTAAATATATTGCATTTTATGTGTAATTTTATGTCATCAAGTGCTTTGACTTAGATTAAGATCTTACTAGGCAAATACTCTCTTTTTGTATGTAACTCTTAGCAATTTGCTAGTGAATCTAATCACAGCATTTAATTTACTTCCTGTTTGCTTTCTCTTTAACTGAAAATGATGCTAAGAATAGTTGCCCTTTTCATAAATCACGCGACTGTGGTACAGATGAATTACATAATGTGATGGCCTTTGCTTTTATTTGAGAACACCTCTAAATTCCAATTCTGTTGCTTAAAATTTTAATTATTCCCTTCAGCTGCCTGACATCTTCAACTCTGAGTAAGCATGACAATGTCTTAGCCAAGGAGTTAATGAAGAAGACAGGGAATATCCCAAAGGAAGCCATCAGAGAACTTGTTCTAGGCTGACATTTATCCAAATTAGTAATTTTTTCACTCATCCATTCACTCTCTCACTTAAATAATCAGTTATCCCCCAAAGATATCACAAAAGACTCTGTTGAAATCCTGATACTCTATTCCTTCAGAGTAACTCTGATCTACTAGTACAGTAATCTATCAAAAAAGGAAATGAGTTTAATCTAGGACAACTTAAATTTAGAAATCTATTTAACACTCTAGTAATTAGGGTTTCCCTTATAAAGTACTTATTTATGTACTCTTAACCTGTGGTCTTTAATTAAATGCTAGGGAGACTGAAAACTTGTCTGTTTTTCAAATAATTAACAGTATCCAGAAAATACCTTTGCATGTCTAATTTTAAAATTTATAAAATAGCTGGGTGTGTGGAAGGCGCTTGTAGTCTCAGCTATTCAGTAGCTATGATATGAGCTATGATGCCATGGCACTCTACCCACAGCAACCAAGTAAGACTCTGTCCCTCCCTCATAAAAAAGTATTTATAGGCTCGGCGCCAGTGGCTCAAGCGGCTAAGACGCCAGCCACATACACCTAAGGTGGCGGGTTGGAATCCCCAGCGGACCGCCAAACAACAATAATGGCTGCAACCAAAAAAATTGGCCAGGCGTTGTGGCGGGCGCCTGTAGTCCCAGCTACTTGGGAGGCTGAGGCAGGAGACTCGCTTGAGCCCAGGAGTTGGAGGTTGCTGTGAGTGTGATGCCATGGCACTCTACCCAGGGGGATAGCTTGAGGCTCCGTCTCAAAAAAAAAAAAAAAGTATTTATAAAAAATCTTAATGTATACATTACAGTTCTACTTTAAGATTCGTAATGTTTTAAAAACTTTAGATCACCAATAAATACTATTTACTTTTCTTTGGTTACTCCATAATTTTGAGATAAAAGTTCTTTGCTGCTATACAATGAAAATTTTATTTTATACCATAAATCTATATTTTTCATATAAAATAAAAATAACTAGAGATGAACATTCTGTTTAAATATCACATGAGGTGTCCATATGTATTAAGTTCCATTTGTATATTTTGGCTTTATATTTTTTAACATAAGAAGATTGATATTCTCAAGTAGGACAAAGTAATGAGACAGTAATACACACTAATAAGGACAGAGCAAGTCTGAATTGAAAACAATGTCTATCTGAGGATGACGTTTTCATGTCAACCAAAATTCCCAGTGAATCTTAAAAAAAAAAAATCTATTTAAGTACCGAGAAGATCTGCTTTCAGGTTAAAGATCTCTGCTTTTGGACTGTCTGGAAAGTTTGCAAGGCAGCTATTATTCCACTGTAAATACAAGGAATCTGAGGCTCATTGAGAAGTTGAAATTCTTTAGAGACTAAGGACTATTGAGAAATTACACTAAATCTGCAGATGAGATGTTCTAAATCCAAATTCATTTTTTGGATAACTTATACTATGGCTAATCCTAAGAAGCCAATCAACAAGAAGAAGCATAAATTCTGAGCTTGGTTACCATAAATGCAAACCACACAATTCTACATAAAGGTTGCAGATTATGGGTACAAGTGAATCTTTCTAAAAGCAGAGTATGAATGTCTTGACTCAATAACTAAGAAAACAACATGAAGGTTATGTTAACCAGTTTGATGAGAGTATTTCAAGATGTTTATGAAAACAGCAGACTGTACCCCATGACTGCATTAATGTACATAGTTATGCTATAAGAAATAAAAAAAAAAAAAGGTTGCAGACTTTGCCAGGCACGGTGACTCACACCTATAATCCCGGCATCGTGAGAGATTGAGAATCCGTGGGAGGATTGCTTGAATTCAGGAGTTCAAGGTTTGTCTGAGCCAAAGTGAGACCCCAACTCATGATAAAATAAAAAAAACCAGCCAGGCACCACAGCGAGTGCCTGTAATCCCAGGAGCTTCAGAAGCTGTGGTAGCAGTATGCCCACAGCCTGAGTCTGAGGTTGCAGTGAGCTACAACGCCATTGCACTCTGCTCAGGGAATAAGGTAGAACTCTGTGTCAAAAAATAAAAAGTTGCAGACTTTACAAAGGCACAAATTATATATAGGTCAGCACTTAGTAAAAGAAGTACTGAATCTAATGAGAGGGTTTGTAAAAGACAGGAAGTATAGGATATTTGTGGTCCAAGTCCTTCTCACACCAAAATTTCAAATCTACATTCTCAGTCAGTTCTAGGTGAGCAGACTGAAGCACCCCCAAACCATAGCCACTTAATAAAGATTTAACCTACTTTAAAAGTTCACCTCTCACATTTTTGTAAGAAACGGATCTTGACTAATATCATCAACATGAACTTCTATCATGTTCGAGACCAGCCTGAGCCAGAGCAAGACCTCATCTGTAAGCCTGGTATTGTGGCAGGTTGCCTGCAGTCCCAGCTATTTGGGGGGCTGAGGCAAGAGAATCACTTGAACCCAAGAGTTTGAAGTTGCTATGAGCTATGACGCTGAGGCACTGTACTGAGGGCTACAAAGTGAGACTCTGTCTCAAAAAAAAAAAGGAAGGTGCCCAGATTTTTCAAACAGATAATTTGCATGAAGCAAGAATGAAAAATAAAAGCCAACTTCAATTGGGCTTCTAAATTCCCTACAAGTGATTCGCTACTTACCCTCAGACTTCCACCAACCACTACACATTTCAGTAACAGAAAACCAGAATTAAAGGATACATTGTAATTCTATTTCAGGGCCTTCTACACATCTCAAAATTTCCTATTTTACTATGCGAAAAATAATATTGGATGGTGAACAAACTGATTTAAATTCAAAAAAATAGGCTCCTAAGTATATCTGACTGGTAGAGGACTCCCTGTACTTCAAGCACAGAAGATACACATACAGTTCGCACATACACACCCACCCATCCATCCTTCTCGTTCTCTCTCACTCTTACAGATAGAGGTCAGGACTATAAACATAAAGATGACGATTATGGTAACAAAGAAAAGTATCTTTAAGGTTGTCTTCTCTGATGATAAAACGCTTTCCTTCCTAAAGCCAACCATATCCCCACACTCTCCTATTTAGTATATGCTGAAAGTGAAATATATATGAATTGAAGTCTAAGGAGCATACCTGTATTAGCAACATTCCTTATTTTACAGTTGAAAGTAACCTTCCTTCAGTTTTCTAAAACTTCTGAACTGTCTAGTTTTTCAGTCAGTTCTTACCCTCCTAACTAGTATTTTTTTTTTCGAGACAGAGTCTTACTTTATCATCCGCTGTAGAAAGCTGTGGCAACATAGCTCACAGCAACATCAAACTCTTGAGCTCACACGATTCTCTTGCCTCAGCCTCCTGAGAAGCTGGGACTACAGGTGCCCGCCACAATGCCTGGCTATTTTCTAGAGACAGGGTCTCGCTCTTGCTCACGCTGGTCTCCAACCTGTGAACTCAGGCCATCCTCCTGCCGTGGCCTCCCAGAGTGCTAAGATTATAGATGTGAGTCACCATGCCCGCCCATAGGCCCATAGTATTTTTTTAAATTTGTATATATTCTACTTGACAGTACGAGTTCTTAAGTCAGAGACTGTGTCTTATTCATTTATTTTTTTTAAGAGATAGGCTCTGACTCTATTGTCCAGGCTCGATTACAGTAGCATAATCACAGTTCACTATAACCCTGAACTCCTAGACTCAATCCTTCTGCCTCAGCTTCCTGAATAGCTAGGACTACAGGGGCATGCCACCATGTTTGGCCAATTAAAAAAAAAATCATTATTATTATTATTATTTTTAAAGATGGGGTCTTGCTGTGTTGCCCAGGCTTGTCTCAAACTTCTACTTTTAAGAGATCCTTCTGTTTTAGCCTCCCAAAGTGCGGGGATTATAAGCAGCCACTACCTGGCTCCAGATTTTTTTGGGAGATGTGTCAAAATTATATGTGAATTTTTCAACATGGAGGAGTGTCTGTGCCCCTTGCTCAAAGGTCAACTATATTTGGTCTTCCTCTTGTACTTGGCATATAACTACTACAGTCCTTGGGATCTCCAAAGTGATGTATCTTTTTGCATGTTAATAAGATGGCTGATGATCATAGCTTCAGAATGGGAGGCTGGTCAGGAAAAATATCAAAGCATTCTTAGAGGTTTGGAACTTCAGCCCTACTCCCCAACCTTCTGGAGAGGAAAGGGACTTAAAGGTAGGTTGATCAATGGCCAATGATTTCATGCCTATGTAATGAAACTTCCACAAAAACCCAAAAGGATGGTGTTGGAGAACGAGATGACAAGGAGGTTCCTGGAGGATGGTGCACCCGGAGATGGCGTGGATGCTCTGTGTCCCTTCCCATATGCCTTCCCTCTGTATCTTTTCATTTAGATCTTTTGTAATAAACCAGTAAATGTGTTTCCCTGAGTTCTGTGACCTGCTCTAGCAAATAAAACCCAAAGAGGGGGTTATGGGAATCCTGATTCATAGCTGGTTGGTCAAAAGCACAGGCAAAAAATCTGGAGGTTATGATGGACACTGGAAGTGGGGCAGTC